CTTCATTTGTGAGCTGAGTTCAGTTATAAAAACTTTACCGCAGATATAATTCCTATAGGAAAAGTAGCATAAATACTTTAATCTTTCTCTTTTTTTTCTTTTAATATATTTTTATATATTTTGGATAGGGAGAAAGAAAAAAAACATTAATGATGAGAATCACTGATTGGCTGCCTCCTGCTAGGATTGAGCCTGCAATCCAGGTATGTGCACTGACTGGGAATCAAACCAAAATCTCCTGGTTCATAAATTGACACTCAACCACTGAGCCACGCCTGCCGGCTAGGCTAATCTTTCTCATTATTTGTTTGTAGATTGATAAACAGGTTCCCTAAGTTCTTCTAAAGGCAATCAAATCTTTTTCTTTTAGAATCATTGTGCATGCATGGATTCAAACAAATTTGATACATTTCAATCCACTGCTGTTATTATTATTTGATAATCAAATTGTCCCCTCTTTGATCAATTGGAACTCCACATTAATTCTTGAGTCCTTTGTGGGAAACCCAGTAGTCTTAGATGGTTTCATTGCTTTCTGGTATGCTAAATATTCCAGGCTCAATTTATATATTTCCACCCCTAGATGCAGAATCAGCTACCATTTCTTCTAGGAATCTTGTTTCTACATATTTATTTGGTGGGAGGAATTCTTTCTCTAAGTAGGTGGATTCATTTTCCACTTCTCTAGCTTACTGTGAAATGATACTGCTCTTTGGCATATTATTTTATTCATTAATGAGGAGTGGTCATTATCTGGCTTTACCTGTTTGTTTAATATTCACTGAGAACCTGCTGGTTATAAAGCAGTATGCTGAGGATGATGAAAAACAACAAGATGATTATGGCTAGGATTTCAATTTCATTTACAGAAAGAGAACTAGAAATACTTAACATAACAAAGGGAGAAACTTTCACAAATACTATAATAAATATAAAACACTGTGGAATTTGGAATGGACAAGGGCAGGGGAAGGAAAGGCAGAGAAAATGGCATAAGCAAAGAAACAGAAAAAGAGAAGGATATGAGAGAGCACAAATCTAAGGAGAGAAGATTAAGAAGATGAAATGAAGAACACATTTTAATGCCCTCATGCTAAGCACATTATATATGTTAACTCCTTATGACGAATCATGCAAATAGTTATTTTTATGTCCCATTTTAAATATGAGGAAACTAAAGTCAAAGAGACTAAAATAACTTGATGGAGATCACACCTTTGGCAAGTGGCAGTGCTAGGATTCAAAAGAATCTTTTCTATATAGGCTCTTATCTCTAAACAATATAGTTAATAGCTTAACATATAAAAGGGAAATAAAAGCAAAAGGCTAAATTGAGTCATATTTTTGAGGGCTTCAAATGTACAATTAAGCATTTCAGACTTTATTCTGCAATTGGCACAGTCACCAAGGCTTCTAAAAGCAGAATGACATAAATAAATCTGTCCCAGAAGAATGGTAGCCAGAAGTGGAAAGCTTCTGTAACACTCTAAGTTGGCAACAGGAAAAACAAGAAATAACAGGGAAAGGAGGGCAAATGGCGTAGATGACATAACTGGTATAGAAGAAAGAGACAGGATTCAAAAGAGATTCCAAGAAGCTGAGCTAGAGTGTTTGGGAGAATGATGGAATAGAAGAAATTGGGAAGTCAGTAGAATATTCTCGTTTGAAAACTAAATTGAACTGTGTACAGAGTAAGGTGACAGCAAACATTAAAAAGAAAGCAACTGCAAGCAGCTGGAAATACAGGTACAGAGCCAGCATGCACAGACTCACAGCAGACAAAGCAAGAAATGACACTTGGGACTTAAGGATAAGGGAAAGCATTAAAACATTTGTCAGAAATTTAACTGAGTAGGCTTCTTAAACCTCACTGTCGAAAAGAACAATTTGAGGCTTTAAAAAATTAGATATGTCCAAGTTCCACACAAAGCAATTCTCCTTCTTAGGGCTGAATGGGTAAGATCTGAGCATCTGTAGTTTTACAAAGCTCTGCAGGTAATTCTGGTGTGCATCCTGGGTATACTGCCATGACATCAGAAAGATTCTCTCAGTCAGCCTGGCAGATCTGGTATGGTCTGTGATGAATCAGCTTTGTGATTTTCCCTAGGAACTAGAAAGTAGAATCATGTAAAGCTTATGATGAAAGTTACCAAGATCTAGGAACAAACAAGCCAGCATAGCCAAAAGTCAAGGAATAGTCTAGCTGGTGAGAGTATCTGTGAATGGCCAATGATGGGTTCCAAAGAACAGACGGTAAAAGGATCCTGGATCGAAAGCTACTGAGAAAGAAGGGTAAACTTGAGGGTAAAAAATTAAATATGATGCAAATGACTGACAAGTGTTTTAGTGATAATAAAAGTACCTGGCCCTTCTCTGAGCACTTTATAACATCCTTTCAATGTTCACATTGAACACTGTGTCACAGTGTGAACACTGAGTCACAGTGTGAACAATGAACACTGTACCAAAACCCTTGAGTCCCATTTCATAATATGGGAAATTCAAGCTTAAGGCAGAGTAAGGAGAAGTAACTAAGTCACAGCAGAACAAAACAGGCAGTGGGTAACAAGAATGTTGCCAATTCCCAACCCTCCTATTAGGAGGAAGGTTGTAAAAAGTCTTAGTTAATATGATAAAAAGAAGTTTGTAAAATGGTGAATAAAGATTCATGGGATGTTTTAAAATTTATCATTAATATTGGTGCCAGGTTGAGAGGAGTTTCTATAATGAAGACAGATACACTGACTGCTCCTACACAGCTTACAGATTAATGAGGGAGGCAAACACATAAAGGGGAGGAGCACAGTGTGTAATGGGGACATGGAAGGGCACCTTGTCCAGCCTACAAACATTTCTAGGTGAAGGAAAACGCATGTGTGTGCAATGGCTTGAAGGCCAGAAAAGGGAAGGTTTATTGTGGGGAATAAAAGTAATTGTGTGCTGTGGGAGCATAAAGCAAAGGGAAGATACCATTGACCTTGCTCTTCATAGGCTCTTTTTTCGTAGGGACTTACCCAGGAACAGTTATTGGTGAAGTGGACCTGAGCTGATGAGCTGATAGAAGTTATATGTGACCTTTATAGGATTAGCCAGTCCCAAACTTTGCAACAGAGGACTGCCATGTTGTGTGACCCAAAAAATTCATGTCCTGCCTGAGCAGTTTGTGGGTTTGGGAACAAAGTCGTGGCCAGTAGCTGGTTTGGTAAAGCTCCTATTCCAGGAGGATCTAATAGGTTGGCTTTCTCCATTCCTTCTTTCCTTTAAAAATAAAAATCCATTACAATGTCATCCTATTTGTTTTACAATAATTATTTTTTTATCTATAAGGCAGGTTGTTAGTACAGTACTAATCAGTGAGCTTCCTCCCTGGAGCCGCATTGTATAAAAAGCCAAAAAACAAAATCAGAAGAGGTGTGATTTGGCAATAGCAGACATTAGAGTGTGCACTATAGCTGTTCTCATTATAGCCATTCATAAGTTGAGTTTTTTAATTGACTACTAAATATTTTGCATCAAAATACATACTTTTCTGTTTTATAATTATAATGGAAATTTCTAAAACTGTGGCCCTACACAAATTCAAATATCAAAACCCAACTTCTTGAGGAGGCCAACAAAACCCAGTAAAACTAATATTGCAATTGCAACACCAGTGAAAGTAAAAATATAATATACATGCACACGCACACCAGCATCACCGCCACCACCAATCCCTGTATACACTGTGTAAAATGTCAGAGACTGATGACTCAGGGTATCACCAGACCAGAGTATGTTCAGAGAAATAGAAGAAACTTGCCAATTGAGTCCACTGTCCATATTAAACTAAGACAGTGGAACCACATTCTTTTGTTTCCTATTCATTTAGGTGTGTTTTGTTTTGTTTTTTTAAAGAATTTTAGTGAGTTTATTTGAGCCAAACTGTCGACATATGCCGGGAAGCAGAACCTCAAAGAATTGAGATAATGCTCTGAAGAATGGCAGGTTACATTTCTATTTATACATTAAGATCAAAGGAGGGACATAGGTGGGTTACATGAAATTCATTGGTGACAGATTACCATTTAGTTTTATGATTCAGCTATATATAGTTTCATGGTCATAAGTAGAGAGTTACTAGCTACACCCAGAAAACTTCAGAATTCTTAACATTCAGACAATTTACATTTATTTAGCTAGAGACTTTCTAGCTTCAAACACTGAGGCATGAAATTTTATAACTGTGACAGGTATTATTAGCTGCTTTCAGAGCACTAACTTTGTTTGAGGCAACAATGTATGCACAACTGGAAGGATAAATTAAAACTGATCAATCATGGATCTCCTTCTCACCTTTGCCAGGTAGAACTCCCCAGACTTCTTTGTAGCTACAAGTAGCTAGTATGTATGTAACATATCCATGTAGCCATTGAGACAAAAAGGAGGAATCTGCTGGGGGGATTTTATTAAAAAAACTATTCTTTCAACATGAAAAGAGAGCCACACAGGAAGCCATTTTGTCCCCACCTCCTCCTTTTGGCTAGAACACTGGTGTGAGAAAAATAAGGCCTGGAGCTACAGCTGGCACACTTTGACTATAAGGCAAAGAGCATAAGAAGCCAACATTTAAGGATAATAACATGTGAGGACAGTGAGACTCTGGATTCCTGATAACATCACTGAGTCAAGAGAACAAAGTCTGGACCTACCTGTCTCCAGACTTATTAACAATAACTAACTTTATGGTTTAAGCCCCTACTTATTGGGTATGGAGTCACTTCATACTGTCTCCTAACATACAGTCATGACCTATGTAGTCATACTGTGATGAAGAATATAGATTAATTATTAAGATTTCAGATTTTAAAATTTTATAAAATAGAAGATATGAGATTTTTAACTTTCACTGCATATAATGCTGTATATAAATTGCTTCTATAAGCACAACATATTTTGTAACATTTAATGATAGAATAAAAATAAAGTTAAAAAGATAAATAATAGGAAAAATTGATCCATACCCGTACCTTTCCGTGTGTTCTCTGTCACATCTACTCCAAACTGGATAATGTCACCAGAAAGAATTTCACATGGTGGACTTTCTTCAGAGCCTCGACTCAATCTCTGGCTATTTATAAAGGTACCATTACTACTTTTAGTGTCTTGGAGATAAAACTGCAAAAACAAAATTGAAAAGCCAAAAATTAATAGTAGTAATTCTAAACCTACATTTAAAAAAGTACACCCAACTTTGCAAACTACTGCAGATAAATTTCCATCCCCCACCATCAATTCAAACCACTTGTTTCAACTAAGGTTCTCCATACACACACACACACACACACACACACACACACACACTCATATATATATAATTAGAACACTAAAATCAGTGATTTAAAATCCAGCTAACAAAAAATAGTATAATCATTTTGGAAAAAAGTATTTAAGGTCTTCAAAATGTTAAACATAAGGTTAGCATATGAGCCAAAAATTCCCCTCAAAGGTGTGTGTGTGTGGTATGTGTGTATTTAAGAAAAAAAATATATATATATTCAAGAAAACTGAAAACATATATCCTCACAAAAACTTGTATACAATGTTCATAGCAACATTTATTCATAAGAGCCAAAAAGTAGAAAAAACCCAAATGTTCAACTAATGAATGGGTAAATAAAATAATAGTCTATCCATTTGATGTTATATTATTTGGCAATAAAAAGGAATGAAGTATTGATTCATGCTACAACATGGATAAATCTTTAAAACATTATATTGAGTAAAAGACCATATATTATGTTATTATATTGATATAAAATACTCAGAATAAGCAAATCCATACAAACAAAATTACATTAGTAATCCCAAGGGGCTGAGGTGCCAGGCCATGGGGTGAGGTAGGGTGAGAATGTACCTTTCTTTTTGAAATGTTCTACACCCTACAGCCCTGAATATCTAGCAACTACTAATGGGTATGAGATTTCTTTTTGGAGTGAATTAAATGTTCTAAAATTATATAGTGGTGATGGTTGCATAACTGTGAATATATTAAAAACCTCTAAATTATACACTTTAAAAGAATGAATTTTATGGTAAATAAATTACATCTCGATGAACCTGTTGAGTGTCTGTTTCTTTTTAAAGCCGGCTAGATAAAATTCTAAGTCTATCTTTCCATCTCACTCTGACTTTGTAATTTTCCTAGGTTGTCTGGGTTAAGTCAAAGGAAGTGTTGTTTATTCCACAGGCAGGATAATGGTTTTAGGTAACACTTATAATTAATAGGTATCAGTTAACTAGCATAGTTGGTATTAGGACCAATATATACTCCATAAAATTTTTGTTAAGCAGACTGGAGACGTAAGAAACTAAAATAATGGAACCAACCATGAAGATACTATTTCCCAGCCTCCTAAACGTGCCTTTCCTCACTTAGATTACATAACTCCCCAAACCCCACCCCCCCTCTTTAGAAGGGAAGGGACAGGAGGAAGCACAGGAAGCCCACCTGTTTATCACTTACTTATCCCAAAATACAATATATTAGGAACAACTGGGATCGGACACAATAGACTTACCAGGAAGAGAATAACCAGTAAGAAAATATGTACCTTTCTTTTTGAAATTTTCTATACTCTCCAGCCCTGAATATCTAGCAACATATTTTCACCGAATTCCTTTCTAAGGAAGAAAGGAAAGAAAAAAAAACCAAACCCTAATGTCTATTAAAATACATGTGACACCACCAGGCTCTCATTTAACTTTAACATTAAAGCTGTGACATAGATATTACTACCTTTTATAAATGAGAAAAGGAGGCCCGGGCAAGTGTTTTTCCAAAGGTCACAGAGCTATTGAACACAGAAGCAAGGACTCAAATAAGAGAATTAAAAGAACTATCTTTCCCATTACTTCAACTGACCTTTATGTTTCATTTGTGCTTCACTCCTCTCACAGACTCTCTTCCAAAGTGAAACACAACAAAGGAATAAGCAATTTGCAGAAAATATGAAAATGACAATTCTTTTCTTAGGTGACAATATCAGGCTGCCTATAAAATGATTTACTCTATAATTCATTTTTTAAAAATATATATATATTTTAAATTATTTCAGCGAGGGAGGAGGATGGAGAGATAGAAACAATGAGAGAGAATCACCAACTGGCCACCTCCTGCACATGCCCTACTAGGAATCGAACCCACAACCTGGACATATACCCTGATAGGAAATCGAACCAGTAACCTCTTGGTTCACAGGTTGATGCTAACCACTTAGCGACAGTGTGCACGTTCTGTTTACTAGTATAATTTTAAAAAAGACCACTGTTACTTTAGCTAGCAGTTTGTGTATTTAATTACAAAGAAAACTGTATTAATATTTTATAAGGCCATTGGAAACTTAGAGGCATTAACATTTCATACCAGGGAGAATAGCACAGACAACACACTCAAGTAAGAATATTTATCCTCAACATTTTTTCTATACTAGAACTTAAATTTTACACTGTATAAGGGAGTTTGTTTTTTGTTTTTAAATAAATATACCCGTGGGAAATGTGGTGATATCTAGATTTTGGTTTGGTCATTTACAGTAATGTGTGCTATGGTAAAACCCAAGGGATTATACTAGAATTATAGTGATTTTCAAACTTCAAGTTCTGGCCCATTAATGTTACTAAGTTAATTTAAAAGGATGCAACTAGTATGTCATTTTAAACATTAAAGAGAACAGAAGATAAATAAGAATATCAGCTAAACAGTACTGAAATGAGGTTCAGAACTATTTAGCAAACTTTGGAAAAGAAAAAAGTGTGTGTGTACTCCTCATGTATGTAACTCTTATATAAATCTAAAACCACAAAATATCAAATTAAAAAATCAATATTAACGCAGTTGTTTTATGCTGACATAGCTATATTACTACTCAAAGCAGCACCCATTTAGCTGGAACCTAGTTTATATTAGTTTCTCATTCTTCCTTTGCTCTCAACCTAATGGCTTCTATACACCTCAGAATAAAGTCCGAAGTTCTTACCATTATAACCATGAAAATCCCTACATAATCTGGTTCCTGGTTCCTTCTCTAAATTCATTCACTTCCACCATTTTATTTCCTCATCTCTCTCAGCCACACTAATCTCCACATATGCCCCTGGGTCTCTGTGTTTGTGGAGAGTTAGACATCATTTGTTTTACTTCCCTGAAGAAATATTTTTGTTGATATGATTTAACTTTCTGCCCTTGGCCGCTTAGAAAGATTGATATAAAAAATATTTCTGCACCACCTATGAAACAACATGCCATTATTTAGTCTACATTGAACAGAAACTATTTAAAATTAGGTTAGAAACCTCAAAATAGAAGTGGGGAAAACCATCAGCAGCCATAGGACCTGCATGAAGTCAGCATCTGTGCAGGAGGATGCATAGGGAAGCAACTGGGTATTTGAGGGACCTAAAAAGAACATCAAAATAGTCAGTAGGTATTTACTGGATAGTATAATGGCCAATTTGAGAACTTTGAAAATTAGAAAGGTTTATCCCAATCCAATCACAAGTGAGTGCCAGGTTAAGTTCTGGAAAAGGCTGGAGCAGTCTGAATCACATAAATCCTTAAAAGCAATCCCCCAACCAAAGCTGCCTCCCACAACAGGACTCCACACTGAGGAATAGCTGCTAGGTGGACACAAAATTGGGCAAAACAGGGACAACAGAGATAAGGGAAGAAGAGGTCCAGTAGAGAAAGTAAAGAAAGTAGTGAAAGTAGAGAAAGAAGAGGTCCAGTAGAGAAAGTAGAGAAAGAGAAAGAAGTCACCATATTTTTTAACATTAAAAAAACAACATACACACCCAAAAAATACCAGAAGAGGGAGCTCTGTGACATTAGAAAAGTTATCCTAAATCATGACCCCTTCTGAAAGTTCAGAAAAACAAAACTTCACATAAAAATAAGCAACAGAAAAATGTCAAAGTCCCATCCCATACAGTTATTTTAAGAAAAAAGAGACTGAAGAGCAGAATAACATCCCTACATATAATGAAAGACAGACCTCGGGCACACATCAAAATTATAACATACTATTTTAAAACAAGCTAAAAGGCATTAAAAAAACAAAAACAATTCAAGACATGAAAGAAAAACATAAATCACAATTATAAAACTCCAGAAAAGGTGAAAGGACTCCAAAAAAAGGGGGGGGGGGGAACAAAAGGGGAAAAAATCACTTTGGAAATTAATACATAATTAGAAAGGACACGAGTGCCTAAATTTCTATAACGCATTTATAGAAATAAAAGGTAAAAAGGAGGAAATTTTTAAAAATAAAAAAGAAATTAAGAAAGTGACATCAGTAAAATGGTTAAGTAGGCAGCTATAAGCTCCCCACTCCCTTCAAATTGTGACAGTCCTTCACTAGGCTTTAGGACAAAGTAAATTAGATTTCTGAAGCTCAACAAAATAAAAAATAAACATATCATTTGAAAATTACAGTTTTGAGAAGTGTTTCTATTGAAAGCCTACACCAAATTCTAATTTATAGGAGATCGCCACATTTCAAAACTGATGCGTTGGCAAGCAAATTCTAATTATTTTTTTCCTGTAATGGTGTGTTAATCACAGCAAGATGCATTCAACTTTTTCTTTGAGCCTCCCACTTAGATACTGGTATTAAAGAACATTAAAGAATAGATACTGATTCCAAACACAATCTTTTTAACCCCAAGAGGTCTCTAATAACCTCTCAAAAATTGAACTCCAATATTTAAAATAAGTATGTATTTATTAAAATGCCATGTATGATAGTATATTAAGGATAGAACAAGGGAATACTGTGATTTTTTTTAATTATTTTTTTATTAAATTATATCTTTGTACATATACCATTGCCCCCTCCCCATACATGCCCTCCCTCCCCAGAGTTTTGTGTCCATTGGTTGTACTTATATGCATGTATACAAGTCCTTCGGTTGATCTTCCCCAGATCTTCCTACCCTCCCCGCTGTAATTTGACAGTCTGCTTGTTGCTTTACTGTCTCTATATCTATCTTTTAGTTCTTCAGTTTATAATGTTCTATATCATCCATAAGTGAGTGAGGTCATGTGGTGTTTCTCTTTCATTGACTGGCTTATTTCACTCAGCATGATGTTCTCCAATTCCATCCAGGTTGCTGCAAAT